TGCACGGCTCCGCAAGATTTAGAAGCTTTCAGATTAAACGTTAGAAAGCCGTCATTATCTAAATCTTCCGGGTAAATTTTTAAAACATATATCAATTACAGTAGTAAAAATGTACCAAAAATTTTAATGCAGCTTTGATCGAAGATAACTTGGCACCCACTTGACCAAATTTGATGAAATTTTTTTTTATTCGAATTCTACAGTTCTGTAGAATTCGAATAAAAAATTTTTATCGAATTTGGCAAGTGGTGTCAAGCTATCTTCGATCAAAGTTTTAAAAAAAATTTGTAAACAATAGAAACTTACTCGATTTTGATTGGTCGATCACGAGGTCGCCATGGTGATGGGTCACCATAAAATAAAGCCCATCAAAATATTATATATAGTATAGTATTTAATTTGTTTATCAGATCTTATTATTTATTTTTATTATACTATTAAACAATATCTTAAACTTATATATAATAATACTATATAGTTATATCTGAGTTATATTCTATTTTTTTTTTTAAAACATTTTTAGAAATATAATCATGTAAAGATATAACTTAGATATAATCTAAATTAAGTATAATATAGTTATATAATATTAAACTAATATTTTTTTTTTTTTTTTTTTAATCTTAGGCAGTCTCGTCAAAACTTTATTAAGTTTATTTGCTATACTAGATTACAAATTTCTATCTTAATCTGTAAGTTTGACATCACTCGAAACATGTCAAGTGCGACCTGCCGCACTAACTCATATTTTTATACAGAACTAGAGGCTATGTCAAACAGCCTAAGACAATAACCAACAAGGGTTAATTCTATCACTAATAAATAATTCTATACATTCTCTTCATAAAGTATTCACCTCTTCATGCTTCTTTGAACTCTCTAACAAGTTTGCTCCAAAATCGTGTAAGATGGCCTTACACTTTTTCTCCTGTTTATCATTACTTTCTTGATTTTTTTCCTTTTTTTCTTGTACCGGTTTTTCTTCTTTCTTGCTATACTAGAGTTTTTTCTCAATCCAGAATAGCTTTACACCTTGGCTTCTAAATATCTTCATAGAAATAGTTCCATGTTGCTGTGAGGAGAATTTTGAGTAGATATCTTGCTTCTGCTTGCGAGTTACACTATTTAGATAGCTTCTTCTCTGTCCTCTTCTTTACTAGACTTCTAATTAGATATACTCTTGTGCTTTTTATTTCTTTATCCGAGAACCCAAATAGAACTTCGTGCACTTGCTTTTCTGTAACTTTTCCCTTTTCACTTATTGAATTGATTTCTTCGCACAAGATTTTAGTTATACTTTCTTCAATTAGTTTTCACCTACTTTCATATACACTGCAGTAGGCTAAGTGTTCTTGTGATTCCTCCTCTCTGCTATTGCAAAGTTTACATTTTGCATTGGGGTAAAGGTCCGGAAATCATGATACCATAATTTTAAGGACTGGAAGTTTGCCTTGGAAGCCTTTAATAATTGTACAGAGTTTTTTACTTTTACTTAAGAAGTCGCATCTTATTCCATTCTGCTCTCCAACTTTATCCCATAAAAGGGCCCAACTAAATTTGCAATTCTGGTTCTCTGGCTCCACCTTTTTAATTGAATCTAAGCATATTAATTCTGAACTGGTAATTGTATTTCGAATTCAGTTTAAAAAGGATCTTGTTGGGTTCTCAATTATATACGATTTCCATTTCAATACCATACAGAAGTTTATGCAAGATGTTGTTCTAACTTCTAAATCATCATTTGCCGTAAGGTCCTTTTTTGCCAAAGAGTCTGCTTTTTGGTTCCACTTGTCTTCTGAGTGGCATAATATTAAACTAATTAAAATATAAGCTTTTAAATAATATAAATAATATTAATAAATTAAACAACTAATTAATATATATTATAATTTAGTAATTTATAATTAATCGAAATTAATAATCAATATATAAAAATTAAATAAAAATATTATTTACATTCTTAGAAACTAATTTTTAATTATTATATGCATTTTGTAGACTTAGATATAAATAATATTAATAATATATATTAATAAGTTATAAAATTTTTAGTTTTTAACTATTTTTAACCAGGGTGATTTAACCACCCCTATTAAAATTTAGAGTTAGAGTACAGTTTTAGAATTTTTTTTTTTTTATATATAATATAGTATGTATTAGATATAAGGTTTTGACTTTAGTTTTTATAAGGTTTTCAGGGTTCTAAACATTTTTACTTAGAGTACTCGATCCAGTTTACTTAGTACAGTTTTGAGATATAGCACCCCTAGTAATTTAACCAGGGGCAAGTTAGCAATAGTCAAATTTTTATTGCTAAAATAAAAGCTTGTTACAAAATTTTTTAAAATAATTCACAATATAAACTATAGTAATTTTAATATAAACTAATTTAATCACATATTAGTAAACAAGTTTTATATTAATTTTTTTTTATAGTCAATACAAACTCAAACTTAACTGCATATATATTATAGATTTATAACAATATTTTTTATAGTAATTTATAAAAGAAATTATAATAATTTTAAGAGAATTATAATTTAGTACACCGTGCACCATGGTGCATCCCCTAATCACGGGGATATAAACAGTTGATGATCGATAATGATTATCAATTTTTTTTTTTTTTTTTTTTTTCAAGTTATAGTTAACGTCGTCACCATAGTTGGGTTAATTACTGGTGAGTTGCCATCATAGTGTTGTTGGAATGTGGATTTTGTCACATTTGGGCTATGTTGTTTTTGCTGTTTATGCTGTTAGATATTTGTCGCATAGTTGGAGCTTTCTATTCCATTCTTGGGCGTGTGTCTTGTGGACATTTCAGTCTCAGGAATTTCAGGTGTGTAGGAAACTGTCTTTTGACTTTTACTACCAGCCTTGGGCGTGGCTTGTATATTCAGTTTTGGGATTTCAAAAGAATATGAACTGTAGCTTGTCATTTTGATTTTGAA